AGTACACTCTACCTCTCTCTCCATGACGCAAACGTAGGCTGCAGCTTCGTCAACTAGGGAACTGGTTTCAACAGGCAAGCACAAGCGACCACGCAGTTTTTGCGTGCTCACTATCGTCACCATTAAGTTAATAAGCCACCTTCAGCCCTCGATTATCAAAGGCCCTAAATTCACACCTTCACAGGTAACTTTATCGATCGCGCATCTGTGAGGCAAAATTCGAAAAAAAAATCGACCCCATCCCCTCCCCTCCAAATTTTGATTAATATTTTACTTCCCACGGTTTAATTGGTCTCAGCAATAACTGAACAAGAGTACTTTTCATACCAATTACTCTTTGTGGATTCAGTCCAAAATAGCCTTCCATTGTAAGTATATTATGGATGAATAAGTGAAATAAAAACGGTCGCATTATCAGTATTTATTTATTTATATCCAATGGCAGGCGTTTTGATGGCTATCACTAGCCTTTTAGTTGACATTCAGGCTTCACAGAGAGAGGGAGAGACATCAATGTGAAACAAATTCGAGAGGGGGGGGGGACAGAAGAGTGTTTCAAATACGAAGTTAGAAAAGGTAGAGAAAAAGCAAAATGAGTACTGTGGAAGTAGTCGAATATGACATATAGTGGGGTGATGGTAGTTTGAAGTCAGAAGTCAACTGCCGGTTAATTGACTTTTTTGTCGTTTGAGTATGCGTTTCCCAGGGTGCACCACGTGGAGGTAAGGCATTATCAGTATTGAAAGGCCCATTAATGGTAATTTTTGTCGGCATTGAACTTAAAAAGCCCGATTTGACTACAGTGTGAAGTTAAAATCACATATAAGAACTATTAATCATTGCGCGCATACGCACAAGCAAGCGTCACTGCATCATTGAACAACTATGCATACATTTATAGACACGCCATCTCTCTCCTCCCCCCCCCTCGCACTCCCTCTCTCTCTCTTCGTTTGTGCAGTCGTCGCTTGATTTGCGTTTCGTATTTTGCCGCTGAAACCTTTGACAAGTGACTTGGTGGTTAACCGTGATTTCTTTCTTGCACATCTTAGCAAACTTGAATAATTCACTGTAGATTAGCTGTTATTGCTTGCGCATTTATTAACGCACGGTTTGGGACATATTTAAATAAATATATAAATATTGAAAATAACTCACAAAATTCAATTTGCCACGGATAAAAATTAATTATTTTATCCAACGCCTCCAATCGAAGGTTCAAGGCTGAATCTACCTTGGATCTCTAACGAAGTCCTTTGAAGGGCCGGGTGAAGTGATTGTCTCGAGTCTCTGAAATTTTGTGTTACCATAGCGGGGGGGGGGAATGTCACACGCGCTAAGATAGGTTTCTGTTCGATCAATTTTCAGGTTGCAATCTGGAAACAGCCTAAAAAGCCTTTTCAATTACCTCCCTCTGCGACATGAGAAATTACCTTACAGAGTGTCAATGAATACTTCAACCTGTAGATTGTGACTTGGCGCGGAGAGCAGAAGGATGGCATTTTGAGAACGTCAAATCGAATATAAGAGAGTCGAACACAGTGCTTGCCCTGATTGACGAATACCTGGAGAAGACTGTTTATGATAGTATCGATTTCGGCTGAGTTAATGGGCATAACCTTTGAATATAAATCTACCAGAGCAAGATAAGACGTTCCTTGAAGAGATCCAACAGGATTGAGATCAACGTAAGTCCAAGAAATGTGGGCTTGAGAGCACGTAGGAGGGGGGGGGGGGGGGGAGGATCTGGTTGAGGCATTACTTCGGTTGGTATAACCACCTTTGATCCTGTTCCCGAGGAATGAAAAGCACCTAATGCAAGACCGATTTTCTCTGGTTTCTAATATTTATCACCCATCAATCTCGAGAGCTCACAGCTCTTGTTGAGCACAAGCTTAGCTCGAATGTGGCTACACTGAACAGGGTGCGTTGGTGACTTGATATTGATGAAATATTTGGGAGTTCGAGGTAGCTGCGAATGCGCGACATCCTTCATTCTGTTTCTTTAGAAAGCATACTTGATTTGTCTGGCCTACAGAATTTCGTTGCTGACTGATGATTGGTCGCTTCAATGGGAGTTGAAATAAAAAGAAACGTAGGATACGGTGGAACAGTAGGAGTTTTAGGCCCAATTTTTAGAAGAAGTGGGAGAAACATTGGTATTAAGCGTGTTCTAAACAACAGGAGATATTTCAGCATTATAAAATCCTCAGAGATGGTGAAATGATGTGTGCCCACCGCTAGTTATAAACTTTATTAGCCTTGCAACACATTTATAAACAACTTGAAGGTAGGCTTCTTAATTACAAAGGTGATGACCCTGCTATTTTTTCTTCCAGGATCCAAATCGTGATTCATTTGCCTGAAATTAAAGAGGTGTCAGTTCAATTGGAATGAATTTTGAAATGACAATAGCGTTTTTTAGAGTATAAAGGTGATTATCAAATAAATAATCGTTTATTTATTAACACAACCTGGGTAATTCGATTTATATTCGGGCTTAAAACTCGAGATTTCGCTATTTAATAATCCCATGTCATGCAACCAGATATTTTTCCGATAGTGATTGGTGGTAAAAGAGTGAAGAGTTCATTGGTCATTAATATTCAATATCAGAATATAATTGGTCGGGCAACATACCACTTCATTGATAAATAGCGATTAATTTAATTACATTATGGCATCCCATGATGATGAACTGAAGTTGAGATTACACTTCTGAGGCACATTAAAACTTTGTTTCACTTTTCCTTCACCCTCTTTCGGTAAATATAACGCGGAGAAAAATAAACCTTCCCGCCATGTTAATGTAAATTGATCAATTTGAGTAAATAATGGAACGTTAAACACTCTCTTGACGAAAGACTCGTTTCGAGTCTTCTTTTAAAGTTGATGGATTAAATAGTTATCGAGTTATAAAAAAGGAATCTGATAAACAGGCGAGGATATATAGCAAATTGTAATGATACTTTCCAAATTAATACTTACAGTTATTTCGACAGATCGGAAAATATATGGCACACACATAATAGCTGAATAACTAAAACATCTGATATATTTATCCCAAATGTTGAATCAAAATACTCTATTTTGCAAAATATTTTCCTGTTAGATGAGTAAGTTCCCCACATTAGAGCGTCATTATTCGTCACATAAAAGGAAGTCGGCTTTTCTCTTACAAATCCAAATAGAAATGGCTTCTAATTCGCACTAGAAATTTTAATTATGTTTTGGCGTGTACAACAATATGGAATCGTTATTAAATAAGACGATATTCATGTTCATTCTCTAAGTACACTGCACAGTTGCACGCATTCCGAAATAAACGCTTTCATTTATTAATAAAGCCCCCTAACATGGTTACAGTTTCGGGGTTAACTTGTGCTCTACTGGATTTGAGACAAAATTGTATTACATTGTTGAAGCTATATCGATTACTTTACAGTGCTAGCGAAAACTCTGAAGTGGAGGAATAAAATCAATGAATTTAATCAGTGGAGCAGAACTTACAAAACCTCTGCAGGTCTATTCGATCAATAAAATAATATAATTTATTTGCGCCACTTGTGATTTCTTGTTAAGGCCTGGAAAGGAACCAAAACCGTGGCCAAATCCACAAAGCCTTAGTCGGGTGCTATATGCGGAGTCATGAAATGGTTGAAAGAGGTCTATAGCCACAAATGGGCCATTATTCTTGAAGGTATTAGTCACAACCTCCTTTGCGTGTGGGGTAAAAGAGGGCTTGAAAATCGGGCTAGAAGGAGGTGTACAAGGCCAACCGTCTAATCATGAATGGAACGAGTATGTGTGCCTGCACGGCCTTCGCATATACACAGAAGCGCGACGCCAAGATGTGCGTGCACTCGTTGTAACAAATGTGGGTTTGTGGTGGTGGTAGCTGCCTCGCGGCGCAAACATCAGCACATTCCTTGTACTTTTTGTGTGTTAACAGTTGTTAGACTATCTCACTCATTTTGCGCATGCATGTGGAAATATTTACCGCTTCAAATACGAGAGATTAAGTCAAGCGCTATTAAAGCTCCTTCTTCATTCCTGCCTCTTTTGCAAACGAATTCGCATCAAGAAGGTCTGAGCTGGTCCATGACAATATTTTAACCGTTTTTGAGAGTTATGGGAGTAAAATCCCAGGTTGGGATTTACGGGCTAAAAATAGGCATTTCCTGCTCCTGGGAGTCTTTTACATCTCCCGATCCTTACCAAATCATTCATCTTAAATCGAATTGTGTTGTTCAACTTAAGTAATTCAATTGTGATGGTTACAGCGATCCTATAATATACCAACGAGTAACATTTATTGATTTCCTATGCACAAACGATTAATAATGTTGATCTCATTATTCAGTATCTCTTGGATTTGTGCGCTTAAAGCGAAAGATAAATCGGTCGATGAATTTACAAACCTTTGAGAGACTAGGTTTGTCTACCTGAATCAATTTCACTAATTTGCTTTAAAGTTTCCAATAAATTTGAAGAGCAGGTAATAGGATTCGATCTAAATTGCCGAAAGAAATAAATTTAGTTCCTAAGATGCTGAAGGGGAAAAATTCTATCGACACTAAATCAGGGGTGGCCAAGACAATAGAGTGATTAGGAATGCTAACGATAATTAAAGTGAAAAAAATGTTTATTATTAGAGGCCAAATAGTCTCGGTTTAGCCTTCACCTCGCGTTAATAACATCGACAAGTGACGTTAGAGTGGCATTCCCTGATTGGCTATAGGAGTGACCCTAGGAGTGTAATGATTGGTGCAGGGCGTTAGAAATCAGCTTTGCGCGTGCGCATGTGTTAATCACAGCTGAGATAGAATTGGCAACACTACACGTATGCGTAGTGCATGGCCTTGTCGCCGCTACACTAGAATTGCCGTCGCCGCGTGGACTTCATAACAGGTTCAGTTTGTGGATAGTCGATACGTGTGTGCGTTGTTGTCACCATTTAATTATTACTTTCCTCTCACGCCAATCACGCAAATTTAGGAATGAAAAAACGCCTTGTCACAGCCAGTACAGATCCCAACGGATTATTGCCCTTTGTTCCTAACGATTTATCCTCTCAAATTCCTCCAAAACCGTGGGTTTCTGACCCTCGTCAACCTTTCCCCACCTCTATAGTCTCCCAATTAGTCGCTAATATGCCTACTTCCTCAAAAACTGAGCATATTCCTTCAAATGGAGATGAAAATCGCGATTCCCCTGGTTTTACTTCTCCAATGATGAATAATCAAAGTCGGTACATCTCTCCTAAAAAGTCCGATTTAATTGGTCAGACGTCTTTCAACACTAACCAGCTTATTGAAGCCATTTTGCACAATTCTCAACTTGATGGGCGTGGTGCAACGGCCCAACAACATGATCTTGGCCAAGTTTTACTGGAAATGGTGAAATCTCAGCAGCAGCAGCAGCAGATACTTTCCCAGTCTACTGATCCCCAAACCGCAAATCGACCTATTCCACCTAGAGCAACTCCTGATAAACTTCTAATTACTTCAAGAAGTCCCCCGCTTAGATCACCATCAGAAACTATTCGTGGATTTGTTGATGGAAATCATTCCAAACCAAGGAATTCCTATTCTCATTCTCCGGTTATTCAATCTCCCCCTCCTCATTCTATTCCTCCTGCTCCTATATCATCACTTTCGGTGAATAGCGTCTCATCTAGAAATCAACCCCAGCCATTACAAATTCGTCCACCTAATGTTAATACGGATTACAATGCAACAACGTCAGCATTGTATAATCAATTTCTCTGCATGATGGCGCAACAACAACAGCAGCAAATTCGTGGACAGCACCAGGCCTCCCAAATCTCGTCTCAAATTTCACTTCCATCGCATTCGGAAAGCGAGAAGATGCCCACCACCTTGGTTGGATATCCAAAAGTTGGGTGGGTAATCGATTTTCTACCCCTCTTCGTCCTATCCCATTTTAAGAGCAGTTAAACTCCCTAACCATTTCGTTTTGAGAGGGCTATTCCTCGCGTCTTGTCCCTCTCCGGACATTTACCAACGCGATATGACGCAAATTTTCGCAAGGCATTCTTTTTTTCTGGTGGATCTAGAGTGACGTTGTCCCTCATAAAAGGGCGCGTGCAGTCTAATTTAGGCTGATGTGATTTACTGTTGAATTCTTACTTCGTATCAACTTTGAAAAGATGAGATTTTCCATAGGTGATTGACAAAATGTGGAGACTTCTTCCTTATGCTTACGTTAGCAGAGAATTTTGGTGTCTATTTTTGTTTTTAACTTCTTTTTTTTCCGAAACAATTGATGTTTATATATTTTTCTCAAATGTTTGATTCGAAGATGATTCTCAAGCCAATATTGATTTCCAACAAATACGTGCTTTTCTGTTCTTCGTAAATATTTTTTTATCACTGGTATTAACTTGACCAGCGACTTAAAGACTTCAAGTTTTTTAATTTGCCAATGACCAAATAATGCGGAGTTATATTCCATTAGATGAGAATGGGTTTTCTCGGATTTCGACCTCCATGGTAGATATATATATTGATTTTTTTAATTTCCTGTATTTATTCCTCCGTTGATTATTCCATACACGTCAGATGAAGACGGAACGCTGAAGTCAAATTTTCTTAGTAATTTATATTTTTCCATTGAACTTCTTGAAAATAGCGCAAGTAGGGGTGCGGGATGGGGGTTATTGAGTACGTAGCAGTAACCACGGCATTAATTTATTGTCTGACATTAATTTCGTTTTCTTTCCCTTTTGGCCTTCTTAGAATGCCATCGAATAATAGGACTCCGACGGGAACAAAATATGATTCCTACGCTTCACAACTTCGTCCCCCCTCTCACGATCCATACATTCGAGCAGTTCCTCCCACTTACTATCCTTCCTGGACATCCTCTTCAAATTCCACCAATAAAATGGAGCTTTCAACATCATCTTCAGCCCCAGGAGGGTCTATTTATTCTACAATCGATATTCTCCGAGAGTCCAAACAGGTTTCAGAATCTGTCAAACCGACAAATAAGATGCTAACAACATCAGGGGTCTTCTATCCAGAGAAACAGACTGTTCCGCCTCTACCTCCTCAGCCACCCCAGCCCCAACAACCATTGATTAATAATCAATCTGATGCTGTTGATCACCATTTTCGAATGTCATTGGGAAATAGCAAGACTGGGTTATCCGCTGGAATTAAATCTGAAGCTCTCAACCATCATCCACCGCCCCTAGTTGATTTAACGATTGAAAAGAAACCTTCCAAAAAGAATCATTTAAACTACTCGGGAGTCGGCGTTGGAGTTTCATCGTGCTCCTCCTCCTCATCAATTAGTTCCATGTCTGTTTTGGATCGGGATGCTGCGTCACCAAATCGAAAACCGCCTTTTCTACTACCTCCTCCCAAAACTGAGAATAGAATTAATAGTGAGGCTTGTAGTTTCTCTCTGAAAAAGAGGCTGATTCAGCGCTACCAAGCTGACGCGACTACAGAACAGGCGTCTGAATGCGTTAAACAAGAACAACCTCTGTCACAAATTGCGATTAAACAGGAGAATTCGGTGAAATTGGAGCCCTCTTCTCCTCTTAATCATGTGGGTTTACAACTTGTCTTTTTTCCCGTATGCGCGTACTTTTTTGGGGTAGATAACAAATTGTCGCACACTTCACATCCTTTAAATGCAGCGCCCCCCCCACATTCTGGTCACAGGGGGTGAATGTCAATCGAAGTGTCTATGGCAGTGTTCCTTTTCCACATCTTTCATTCACTGCCTTTCTATCCTCTTCAAATATTTGCAGTTATTTTCACTTGCTTACTTACCATTCATTAGACTCTATATTACTTTTAATATTGCCATGTTAGAGGAATTGTTGAATTTTACATGGAATTTTGATTTTGGAAAATCTCTCAGTAGTTGTTGCTTGGTTATTTGAGTTGCTGTTTTAAAATTAGTCGTCGAAGAAGTTACGAGTGCGTCATTCCTCATTAGTTTATTGAATGATTTAATTACAATAGTGAGTGTCTTTTATAAGAGTTAAATCACCATTCTCTCTTTCTCATTTGTTAAAAAAATGTCTTATTTTGTTCTGAACTCAAAGACCCCATAAAATTTAAATTCTGCCGTTTCAGAGATTGGTCGGGATTTTCGGCCAAGGTAGTTTGGCCACATGCCAGTTTTCATTTTCATCTTGTCTGGTTTACAACTGCCAAACTTTTATTAGCTCAAAAGAAGTTTTAGTCATGTAAAAATTAAGCGAATAAAATATATTAATTTTTTTTAACCTTAGGTTTCCCTTGGAGACTCGGTAAAAGTAAAAGACGAGCACAACTTACCTCGTGGACATGAATCCCCAGGATCTACGGTGAGTGGCCACTCAACCATGAATGGATCTCTACCTGTGGACACTTTAAAAGAGACTTCTAAAAGCGGAACTAACAATACGGCTCGTCGACATCCTCCCGTTAGAGCTTCAAAGATCAATCCGCTGAGTTCTCTGAATGAATCCTCTATGTCTCCTTCCAGTACTTCTTCTCCAGGGAAACGGCCTCGTGGAAGCGCGGCTAAGCACCACACTGGACTCACCTCTGTACGGAAACGACCTCCTGCTTCTACTGGAAATGATCCTTCGATGACGGCAAGTTCGAAGCATGTTCGAGGAAAGACCACGAAGCCGAAATTCTACAGTAGTCGTGTCGCATCTTCGGCTGCAACTAATGATACAACTGTTAATAACAACGCTGGCCGAAGGAATCGAGTTACATCTCTTCGATCCACCACCGATCAGACCCATTCGGAGTTTGATTTCAATGGACAGGATGACGATGAGGTGCCAGAGGTTTCTGTTTCTACGGAAACGGGCAAGACAAATCGGCGGTGGTTTGGATCTAGAAAACGGAAATCGAACATCCCTGCTGCCGGTCCATTGTTGCGTATTAAAGTCCCACGTAGGTTAATGTATGAGGATGAAGCTTCTCGAACGACGAAACGACCTCGACAGTCGCAACAAAGAAATCAGTTGTTGCCGAATAAGCAAAATGACAGTAATGGAAAGAATGCCAGTTTTTCTGAAGACGAAGAAGCTAATCAGTCGGAAGGATCTAATGATGATGATCTTGAAAAGACTATTCGAGCTGAACAGGATGATGAACAGGATCAAGACGAGGATTGTGGTGATGATGAGGGAGAATCTATTGCGTGTCATCGATGTGGACAACTTGTCAAACTCCTCAAAGCCGGTCGAAGCACCGATCCATATGATTATCACTGCACATATGAGAATAAGTTGTCGATTCAGGAGATTGCGAAACGTCTTCCGGCTCCGCCAAACCGTAAATTTGATTGTTTTCTTATCACTGGATGGAATTATATGTTATTAATGTCATTGGTTCAAAGAAGTTATTATAGTTAATGAACTGAAAAGGGCTGAGTTTAAAAGATACTGATCATGAAGAGTTAACATTTCTCGCGAGCTCAGACTATTTGCTGATGTTAAGCTAAGCTTAATACCAGGACCCTAGCATTGGGAGATTTAGATGAAAGACCTGCTTTAAATGCATATTTTCATATTAAAAACAGTCAAATCTGTTTATTATTTCCTGAGCGGTTTAATTGTGAAAGAAAGCGAAAATATGGAATTACGCTGCAGGCTAATACTTCCTATTTTCGAGAGTAATTGATTCACTATTTATTTAATCCAACTTAATAGATTGTTTTCTTTCATGTTGTTTCAAGTTGCCATACTGTCGCATCGTTCGCTCTGTGGGGGCGAATTAGGAGGTCAAGATACTGACGACACTAGCTCTGAATCCGAAGTTCCCTTCCTTCAGCTGAACAGTTGCACGGAGTTGGAGAAACTCAAGCCATCTTCCCGGTGTAGAGCTTGTCGAGAGGCTAGTCGAGTTTCATCGACAACAACTGTGGAAACAAATTCAAACTCCGATGTAAATCACGGACCTACTTCGGATAAGAATGGTTCACGAAGACGGGGAATCAATAATCGGAATAATTCCAATAATGCCAATTCACGAGGTAATCATGACAATGAAGGGGATTCTAAAGCCGCTGCTGCTACTATCTCCGTGTTTTGTCGATTCTGGGGCTTTAGAAAGTAAGTTGTATTCTTTTTCACAGTTTATTTACATTTTTTCACTAAAGTTCTTTATTCGACTGTTTGCTAATTCATTCGCAATTGCTATTTCCACAAAACATTGTTTAAATTCTTTGATTTTCTTTTCTGGAATCTTTCGAGAATCAATTCATATCGCGAACTAAAGTGACCTTTAGGGTTTTGTGTTTTTTACATTTCTCAACCCTCTCGGAGTTCAGCACTTATATATATTCTTTGCAATCTCTTGTTGCATTCCTTTAGTTGGCAATGACAACTTTCAATTTAGAAATATGAAATCTTCAGAAATTTTGGTGTCTATAATTACTGTTGATTTTTTTGGCTAGGGCCATAAACCCGTTTCATTTGGGAAGGCGGGTCTCCATGTACATTTTTTCTCTCCTTCGAGGCATTTGGCATGCAGAAAACAGGTGCAGGAGTTGTTGTTGTTGTTGCTATTATTTATAAAACCTTACGATCGGACTTTTTTGCTGTGGGTTCTTTTCTCCTTAGAACTCTTTGAAATTGTCAATTAAAGAGTGACCTTGAAGTGCTAGATAAGTAAGGACTCTCAATTGATTGACTAAAGTGCAACTAATAAAATAACGAGTTATAGACAGACTGCTGTCGAGTGGTTATCGACACTCGTATTTCCCCTAATGCCCGGGGGATTGACGTCTCTATGTTGTCAATAATAATTTGCAATGAATCCAACAGCTTTTCACATGTGCTTATTCAATCTCATAAAGTGCGTTTATTCTGTGTGTCAATCCACTTCGCATTTTACTGGAGTGTACATTATCAAATAGAGGTGCGTTTGGTTAGACAAGAGTGGAGGGATATCGATTGTGTCTCCCTCTCTATACTTGTAGAGTACGCGGTATTAGTATCGTCTTCGGAAAACCAGTCCTTTGCTCCATAGCCCTCTGGTCTCCAATTTGTTTTTTTTTGCGTATTTGATTAATGTACACAGACGGGTAAATTCGCGGTCCTCACACGCTTTCCGCACACATTGATTGCCTGCCCTCAAATTGGGACATTCCTCTCCTTCTCTCACCTAATAACCCGAATACGCGCTTGAATGAATCCACAGACCCAGGGCAAACGATTATTAAAATCCGAATGCGAAAATTACCACTCAAGACCTTCTATAGGGAAATGTTGAAGTGGGGGGGGGGGGGGGGGGTTACATCAAGGTGTCGTTCTGTTATTGACTCGATCTTGTGAACTCTGGCCTAACAGATATGCATGCTCGCCAATGTTTTTAATGTAGCATATACTGAAGAGAGAGAGAGAGAGATGAAAGCGAAGAAACTTTTATACCTAGTTGGAATTCGGATCATTGCCTCTGTCTTTACGACTTTCTTCGTCTAAGTTATTAGCGAATTAGGTACGATCGATGTCGAAAGAACCCTGGCATCCGTAGTGGCATAAGATTTACACCTAGTATCAACTTTTAACTCAGCTCAATTGATGGTATACCCTTCATTACCACTGCTTGTTTTCCGAAATTTGCTTACTTGCGTTTTTATACGAGAATTACGGTTTCATGCGAAAATGCTGTAATGAGATTTTAAATGAAATGCTTTATTTAGCCTCCATCTACTTATGTGCATTTTGGCATGATATTACCCGAAGGCTTAAGATTTGAGAGCAATTTTGTGTAATACCTGCATATTGACTATGGCTTATTCTTGTGTTGCCCAATGAATAGATGACATTTTCTAAGACAAATCTCTTAAAGCTCTGAAAGAGTTCTTCTTCCACCTAGCCTCATTTTCTGCCTGTTATGAAGTCCTTTGTGTTTACAATTCAAAACGTCTTTTCGTTGAAATACGTCTAGCGCCGGCATCGTTGCAAAAATAGTCCATATTGATTTTACTCTCTGCTCTCAAGCTACTTATTTTACGTAAGGAACAACTAATCACTAATATTCCATTTCACCTATTTATCTCTAATTAGATTTCTGTCGTGGTGGCGGTTTTAATTAAAGTCTATTTTGTAAGGCATTAAATGGTGTCATTAAAACTAGGCATGTAATCCAATTTTTTTTCGACAGCGTTTAATTTGTAGCGCAAACCTGTCATTCGTGTGGTACGCTTGTCATTCATTGAGGTGGAGATTATCATATGATTACAGGTTTATAAATTTTTTTTTCTTATAGGCCTAGTTATGTCAGCTATATTACGAGCATAACTATTTTACTCATAGCCTCTATTTGGTCGAATTGAGGTTAATTATCATGTTGTCCTTAACACTGATAATAGAATTTTCATAATCGATAATTTATGCTTTGGTATGGAAATTAGATATCGGCCACCAGAACCTATTTTAATTTCATTTTTGAAGGTCGATGCATTTACACTAAACGACTAACTTATCATCTGACACTTTTTCCTCCTTCCAAATTTTACCGATGTAATGATGTTGCCATGTGATTATTGGCTCTCAAGACAGGAAATAGCCTAGGTTCTGAACGTTAAGACGTATTTAACATTCATAGTTAACTTGTCTGGGTTGGCATTCCTTTCACGGCATACGAATCGCGGGCTGTGCACTTTTGTATGCGCATCACGAGACAACCATCGCATGTGAACCAGATAATGTCGAAGTTGTAGTAACGGATGAATAATGACTACAGGAAGTTGGCTTTATGTTAAGGGTGATCGAAGTAAATTTGATTAAAGTAAGTCTATCAAAGTGAAACCAGAATCCCTCAGCTCTGCTATTTCATTTTGGCTTCATTACAATACCATAAGTGAGCAGATGTCGAGTCGATACTATTTAAATGCCGGTTTATAAGTGAATACTCGTTCAAACCGTTGTTAAAGGAAAGAATCTATTTTGGGTTTCATTTCGCGAAATTGTTCAAAAATTGTCCTTTATCAGACTTGATCCACAGTTCAAACCTCTCGTTCCATTAAGTCATAACACTGTTTGCCCTTATGAATTGTAGTGCAACTGATTTAAATTATGGTTAATAAGTAGGTGTTCTGGCAACCAAAAACCACTAGTGCGTTCGTAGGTATTATGGTGCCTAATCGTCATATTTATCAAATCGAAAGCATAAGTAATAAATCAAATGTGTGTGAAGTCCACTTGTTTAATTTGTCGATGCATTTTTCCATCTTGGCTTCTCCTCCCATTGTCAACTTAGTCACATGCTCTCTCTTTTATACTTTCAGCCTTTATGGGCTCTCAAAAAGCGAGTAAAAGAGTGTTAAATCATCTAATTTTGACTGACCTTCAAACATCCAATTACTTTTCGCCATTTCGCAATCGATATATTTCGCGTTATTAGGCGGTGTTTTAGAAGTGGGGCGAAAGTATGTCGTCAAAAGTTTCTCAGGTGATCTTTTTTTAAACAAGACAAATTCTCCCTGCCCTATTTTAATTACCTTTTTGAGACATTTTTAGAAATTTTGCTAGCTGTAATTGGGACTGCCTAGGTCATTCCATGATGAGTATTGTTTCATTTGTTTAAAAGACATGCATAACAATGGTCACTGAATGGTATTTCCCGAATACTTTAAACTTGCAAATAGAAGGTCGATGAATGCTATTTGCATTTCTTTATTCCCTTTTTTCTTACCTTATTTATTTATATCATAGTGTCAGGCCTTTTGTTGTAAGTAGCCCTTTAGTTGACTTCGGACTTCATCGAGGAGGGGGGGGGGTATCAAAGTCGCAAAATGTCGAGGGGAGAGGGAACAGAACAATGAGTCACAGATGCAAAAGAGACAGACACAAAGGTAAAGACAAAAGGAAGAGTGGCGATCCGCCTTTTCCACACCCCCCCTACTATTTCTTCACTTATTTTCCTTTTAACAAGATCTACTCTTTGTGAGACCACTCTTTAGCCAAAGGAGTCCTTCTAATCTCCACATTTATAGCCAAGTCACCCTAACCCCATAATCATTTTCCTTTCAACTTATCCATCAAGCTTTCTCACGTCTCTGCTTCATTCCTTTTGCGCCTAGGTTTGTCGCTTTCCAAGTTAGTGGTGGGAAATTAAGTGTGCTCCCTCGCCTTCGTTACTGTTTCCGTCATATTAGGTACAAATTTGCCGCTGACTGTCCTCCACCTTTTCTCTTGATTTTTTTATTTCGCCCGGTCACGCTCACTCGGCTATGCTAGCTTACTCGCTCCGCATTTTTCGTGTGCTTGTGTATATCACTCAACTTAGGAAAACGCTTTCAGCGGCATTATCGATTTTATGTCCCTGGGGGAGGGGTGGTATTGTCGGCCAAGCAATGACAACGAATGCCAACGCCCTCTCTCCTCTATTTGTTTTCATTACTCTTGCACCTTTAAATTTAAAACACACCCTGGGTGGTGGTTTGTTTGCACTTTCTTGGCTATTTAATGAAATTAATTGGATTTTAATGCTACCCTGAGAAAAAATGAAGAGTCATTATCTTGAGAAAAAAAATTGGCTATTGAATATATGGCTTTTGGTATGCTTTTCCTTTATTTGTACTTCATCTTTCACGCCAATGACCAAAAACAGCCTTGCGTGCCATGTTTGTTTACGGTAATTAAACAGTCAAGAGTCCTTCATATTCCCGCCTAAATAACACCACTCTATTGTTGTAATGCCTCTCTCTTGCCTCTTTACTCACTTAAATTTTTCTCCTTATTCCGAAATTTCGATCTCAAAGAGGAAAAATAAGTATGTTTTAGGTTAGTTGGTATCGTTTACTAGGCAACTCTCCCGTTACACCTTTGCTATTGGCCTATGCTGTCGTGAGCAGTGTTTGGCAAAGCCCTCTAACTATTGAATCATTGGCAGGGAGATTGCCGTACATCCAGATATTGGAATAGCCAATAAAGGGAGGTGGGGGGGGGGGGGGGGGGGGGGCTGGAATATGCGAGTTTCTTATTAGAAAGTTGCCAAGACGCTTCATCATTCTGCACAAAATAAGATTTAAAAGACACTTTCATTAATTAAACTTTGGAGTGTACGTCCTAATTACCTACTAACGTGACGCAGAAGAAAGGCGCATGAACAATAGTTGAAAACATTCATAGTCACATAGGTTATTAACCAAGACGTGTTGTTTACTACGTGTTTAGAAAAAAAGAGGTTTATAGAGTCTCCTAATGCAAATAATTTCAAAGTTTTTTTCGTGGTCTCGATCATGTGATTATCGCTTTGTGTGTGCGTGTGTGTTTGTTTCATTGTGAGGTGGTTAAACCAAGTGAATATCCAGGATCTGTGTTAACGCCAAGTTTATTTACTACCTTTCAGGCTCTTCTATGATCAAAAGGGACAACTGAATGTGTCGGACTTTTGCCGTACGTCTGAAGCGGACTCCGTGGATCGATCGCTTTGGACTATGCATCGGCATGGTACGTTCAATTTTTTTTGCTACTATAAGTGATCCTGATCATCTTCATCAAGTCTGTTGAACTATTTGATGCATGGAGGTTATTAACTTTGGAGTTTAGTAATTTCTTGCTTGAAGTACCAGTATTTTGATTTAGTGAAGTGGTTTACAAAGCCCTTTCTTGGATTGGAGGGGGGGGGGTGGGGGGTTCGTATGTTTGAGACTCTGAGGAGAAAACCGAATTCGACCATTCTGCTCACTGGTAGGCATTTAACCCCCGGCCTCTTACTTCCCAGACAATCAGGTTAACTGAAATGTCACCAATTATTAGATTGTTCTTAGTATTAATTTTCGACGATTAGCCCTATAAAGTTGAAGTGTTTTTTGCTTAACTTTGTAACTTTTTGTAACAACTATAACTAGTCGGCGGTTCAAGCGTGGAGACTTTCTTTGTATCCACCTTAATTTCTCTTACCCTTGCTTCTTGAGCTAATTGACATTTGATAGTCTGAAAGAAAAATCACTACTTATTAAACAAGTTGGTGATGTAATTGACTCTTAACGGTTTTGTCATAAGTGGAGTTTGTCATGAGTGTTTGCTCAATAGTTCCATTAATTGAAACCTCACAAGTCATGGGCCTTCGACAACAATGTTTGAGAACTGATAGTTTTATCAGTGGTTCAAATAGTTCGATCTTCGTGTTATATCACTTTTAAGCATCATTCAGTAAACTTTCACACTTTACACAAGGAGGCTCTATATCTCATTTTTTCTACATTCATATTGATCAATTCTCCTTTTTCGCTTTCTAGTTTCCCCACCCCTTAGTCGGCACAACGCAATCTACTGTCTGGATCGTCTAGGTGCAATCGCATGCCGCCTTATGCTCTCCGAGCTTTCAATTCTCTCCTCTTCAGCCGCTCTTGGCAGTACAGTCCTGCGTCAATGTTGTCCTCCTTCGCCTCCTTCCGAGACCAACAAAAAGTCTTCCTCTACGCACTCCACACCCTCCCGTCTTGTGGCCTGGAAGCGACCGGTTCAAGGTGTTCGAGAGATGTGTGATGTCTGTGAGACCACCATGTTCAACTCCCACTGGGTTTGCACAAAATGTGGCTATTCGGTGTGCTCGGCCTGCTACTATGCCAAAGCAAATGCTCTGCCTTCGAGCAAATTGGCGAAGGATAGTCCGGATCCCCTTGGGGATGCAACGTCCAGTGTGGCCTCAACGACTCACGAAAGTGTTGCAGATGATGATTGCGTTAAAAGTAAGCTTTGCTTTAGTCGTTGTTAATCTTGTATACTCTTATCGGTTTCTCAATTGAAATTGTTCTTGTGGAGTCTTGTACACACTTGCAATCTTAGAAGTTTCACTGCTCATTCCAATCAATCCAAGATTGTGTTTTTCCAAATACACGTACAAAGAAAGCCTTTTAGTGTAAAATGAAGGCGTTCTCCTGAAGCTGGACTGGCATCTCAGAGGCCTTTCTGATGTTTCCATTATTATCAAATTTTAAACAGATTAATCATTGAATATGGTACGAACTACTTATTAAATTACCACCTGAATTATATTCGAGAATCTCTCAAAAGGCAAACCATTTTCCCTACAATCATCTTACTCTAATCACTCGTGGAAAATGGTGTATGGTTAAAATTTTTTATGGTTGTCAATCATCATCTTGTGTTCTTGCATTTCTTCCTCCTACATCCTAATTGATTGACTTCCGCTATTTAGTCAAGTATCTTTCGTCACCATTCTAATGGTTGCTAGGTAATGAAAAAAGGAAGTGTACTCATAATAACCTGATATTTAAACAAAGTAAATAATATGTACATTGTTCCCTACCTATAGGCTTATCTTCTGCAGTTATTGAGTTGAGCTATGAGGATTATACCGTCCGTCAACCCTGGTCGACTTGTTCAGCAAGTCGACGTCCACACGATCCTTCCAAAATGATGCTCACTGCTCTTCTCCCCTATGGAAGTCTTCACTATCTGTGGCATCGTCTCCATCGCATAGTTCCACGTTTAGATTGCCCCTGTAGTCAGTCGTCATCAAATCACTCCGATCCACTAAATCCAATTTCCTCTATTGAGGGACAGCATTCACCAGCATCTTCAACAGACACCTCGGCAGCGACGTCCCTTGACCTTCTGGCTGATTTAGCGTTGAAATCAACTACTTCAAGTGGTGGTTCTCCTGAAGGTGATATACCGAACATGGATGTGCAAATGCTGGACGTAAGCGATGGAAGACGAGAGCCGAATCTGAAGGCGGGAGCTTCGGGAGTGCTTTACCTCAAAGATGGAGATTCTACGAACTTGAAGGCTTTCCAGGTTAGTAGAGACTTGCACTTTGTGAGAATCAAAACGTATACTCTGGGTCTACTATCTAACTAGATGTCATTAGTTTAAAGTCTGCTGGTTCACATCCAGTGATATTGATGTGTGTCATCCAAAACTAGCGTTTCTAAAAACATCAATGTTTTTGGTAATTATTGTCTGCACTACGAGTTTCTTCAAAGCGTTACCTGATATTGTGTAATCGTTGCCTAGGTATCCTACTGTGTCATTATGCAGTCACTGGTTATCTTAACTTGAAATTACCTTTTCCTGTGTTTTTTCTCACCTAAATGTTCAAATTCTTCACATTTAGTAAAAATGATTTACTTGCAGCCATGTGTTGTGCTATCTTCCTTACCTCTCGTGGAAACCCGTCTATTAATGAATGGAAATCTTATCTTACCCTTTTCAACCTTCTTATTTCAGCGTCATTGGGCAACAAACCAACCCGTTTTGATCTCCGGTTGTGGTCGAAACTTCAATTCCTCCCTCTGGACAGCCAAGTCCCTAAGTAGAGAGAACGGATCTGGTTCAAATAACTCTCAAATTGTCCTAATTGATTGTGAGACCCATTTAATCGTTCTCCGATATCCGATCCGTGCCTTCTGGGAGGCTTTTGAGTCGCATCCAAACAGTAATAGTACTAGTAAGTATCTATTACCTCTTTTGGTACATGGCTTCTAAATCTCTGGTATTTTGGATGCCTTTTAAATGAACCCCCCCCCCCCCCCCTCCTCCTCCTATAGCCCCTCCATCCGTTTCAATGAATATGGATCGCTGTCTCGAACTCTAATTTGACTGATTTGATCTTTTACTTTGTTGAAAACTTCTCAAACCACTTAGAAGTGTTTCTACAACCTGACTTGAGTATAAGAAAGTCCTTCTTAAGCGCTCTTATGAGAAACCAGCTTTCTACCGCCACTTGTTGTCCAAGAACAAATAGTATGTTACGTCACCCACATCACTAACTGCGCATTGATCTCACGAAAGTCAATTTTAGACTTGCATGCTGATTGTGGTACCATTCGCATTATACTATCTATCCCTGCATTTTTAGAACGCTCATCAAAGGAGAAGGCACCTCATTTTCTGAAGGTCCGTGAATGGCCACCAGCGGGTGATTTATCAGAAGCTTTTCCCGATCGATATGCCGATTTCACCGAGCACCTCCCACTGCCTGAGTATACGCATCGTGAAGGCCAACTGAATCTCGCTGCTCGACTACCCTCTTTCTTCGTTAGACCGGACCTTGGACCTCGTCTCCACATTGCTCACGATCTCACCTCGCAACCAAAAGTGAGTAGTGTTAGCTTAATTCAATGCTGAATAATTAATTGACAGTATTGATTTTGATATCCGGTGGAATTGTTTAATTCACTTACTTGTTGCATTCGGATTATCAATACTTATTTCCGATGCCCTCTAATTTAAAGGAAGTTTGAACAACCTTTTCCAATATCAATGAGTTTCAAGTCAATCTGATTAAAACATTGCCAGACATTCAACCTCCATCGAGTTGATAAGAGCGCAGATCTCGGTATCATAATAATCATTTATCCATCATCTTTTCTATATTTTTCAATACTCATTTCTTAATCATTTCTTAAAAGTTAATTATTCTGAGGACTACTTATCATTTTCCTACGAGCTTGATATCGATTTCTCAACCTTTAATTAATTTCTCAACGCCTGTGATCTCATTTATTGTATTAACTTTAACAAAAGATCTGTAGTTTGGGTTAATTTTAGGGAATTCCATTCTCTTTATATGTGTGAGGGGTCATGTATCTTTAATTATAAAAGTTAGAGCATGGCTTTGTGGTTCTGTGCGTGTGTGTGTGTGTGTGTCTTGGTCAGAAAATTTATTCGAAATTAGTTTGTTTATTTTTTTTGCCCCAAGTTATGGTTTTTTCTCTCTGTCTAACTGCTGCCAACCTTTTTCAGCTAATTTACTCCGTCATTTTTTTGTGTTGTTTTAAATTCCAGAAGAAGAAGGTTGGTTGTGCAGCCGTTCTTATAACACGCATATACAACCGAATGTGCTGTGAAATCAAACTCTATAGCCGCCTAACTCGTAATAAGAATGCCGTCTAATTAGCGTCTAATTAGCGTCTAATTCGCGTATGGCGTGGCTTGAGGAACCCATAAATTATCTAAGTAATTCTCTCTCTCTCTTTCTCTAGAATAGTGGTAATAACGTTGCTCTAATGGCGCTGAATATTGGCGCCGTGATGAAATTTCAAGAGATAATACAGCCCTCCTACAAGGCGTGGTTTCTTTGTCATTGAGAGTCTCATTGCGAGCTTGTTGGCTCTATTCACTAGAACTGCATGCTATGCCACTGACAGTACTCTAGAGGACAGCTTCGGTGATAGCTAGTTTACTTACCTATGTTGGTTGTGACCAAGCATCCTTTATATTCTCTTACATAACAAATGATGCCTAGTTTCGTGGATTAAGAAAGGTTATAAGTCAAGGGGACTCTATCGATCTTCCATTGGGGTAATTGAAAGCCACTGACTCCCATTAATAATCTTAAATCAGCCTTACCCAAATTATTGATTCATTTTATATGAAGGTGAATACTTGGATCGCAGATCTTCTAAACTAAGTTGGTGAGATGATCTTATTCTAGAAAATCTATTTGCTATTGCAAATAGATTAACTTGTCATAATTTTGCATAGTATCGCGATTTCCATTCCCTCTCTTATCTTTCCTAGATAGGTTCCGAAGTGGTCTTATATCACTCAACTAATTTAATCATTTAACGCCCTTGGCACCGTACTGTCCTCTTTCAAAATAATCTGCATTGGTATTAGAAGAAGGTGCGCATTATCGGCGCTTTGAAATATGCTCAATACCCGATACCACCAAAACTCATCACGTCTACAGCATCAGTCTGCTGTGAAACACGCGCCGGGAGCATTTTCGTAAAAATAATTACTCGGGCATTAAAGAGTTAAATGAAAATGCTACTAATAACCCAATTGTTTTAATGTATTTCGATCTATTGTCCTGTACTGCTATTGCTTCCTCCCATTAATTAGCTCTTCCTTTCCATCGCTCTTCTTTCCCCCACATCGTTAATTTGCGAAACAGTGTGTAGAATCCAAGGCTCTATGGTTTAGGAAAATGCCTGCAGCTCACGCTGGTACCTAATAAGCTGTTGGTTCTTAGCGAGCTCGTGAGGTGTTTATATTTCCTAAAAGATGGGCTTTTTACCCTCTGTCTTTTTTATCAGATTGGAACAATGAACCTCCGTGTGGACGTGACCGACGTGATCAATGTGCTGATGCACGCCACTCGTTCTATGGATCAGGTTCCACCGAAGGGCTCTGAGTCTCAACTGCGAGCGTTTCTTCGCCAGGCTGGTGTTGATCTCAACGAGGTGTTCCACGCGAAAAGTCCCATCAACCCTACCTCTAATCGTGGTATGTCACCATTCTCCGTTATCATAAAGATTAATTGAATGAAGGGAGTTGTTGCGATTATAAGAGTGATATATATATATATATATATATATATATATATTTCAATATCGCATTTAGGCTGGAGTTAAATTTGGGTTTACTTTTTGCTAATTATCTGTTACCTTCATTTCTTCAAGAGCTGCTATGATGAATACTTGTTAAATTCTTCAAAAGAGATTTGCTAAGATCTAGTCAGCAATATGATGGTCAGGTCACAAACATAATGTATAATGTAATGTATACATAATGTATAATGCAAACGATTTTCGTTCTTTAACCTTTTTCAACAGCCTACTATTTACAATGTGCAAACAAAAGGCACACTAGTTTTAATTTTCTTACACCACGTTTGCGTGCGTATGTGTGTGTGCGTGCGCTCCTTCTCACATTTTAAGCAGTTACGATCAATTAATCTCTCTTTTTATTGGAAATGCCTTGCCTAACCGTAAGACCTGGAGTGGGGCTATCTGCCTCTCTCAGAGCCACTAAATTCCCAACCCCC